TGGCTCAACCATGTTTTCATTGGTCCATTTTTGGTTGTTCAATCCTTCATATGGGTGCGTTTTGTTTGTTCATATCTATTTCGGTTCAAAGGAGCCATATCTTGGCACCCCTTCGAGACACATGGTCCGCTTTTCGCGCGGTAGGAGCCTATGGACCCGGCACTCTTGGACCGCTTCCCGCTGCAGCTGCAGCTGACTGGGGCGCTCTACGGCCAGCGATGGGAGGCGAGGCGTCGATCCGCGTGAAAACTCGGCGGATCGGAGAGGTTGGGGTCCGGTTGGGTTGGTGGCGTGAGAGGTTTGCAAGCTGCACCTAGGCGTTTTCAGTCGGGTTGGTTGCATGGGTTAAGCGGTTTAAGTGAAAGGTTTGCAAGGTTCACCTGTAGTCAGCCCTTGCTCGCCATGAGCTTTGACTTGGCCATGGAGAAGATGTTTTCAGGTGCTGAGGGTTCAGCTTCATGCGCTGCACTTGCGCTTCGGTGGCCTTGGGGTCGAAAACTCCTGAAGGCTTTGGGGATGGGGGGGTGAGGGAGGGTCCGTGGCCATTTTTGTTTTGGAGTTTGGGGTTCTTCTGAGAGCGCAAAGAGAATCCAGGCATTCAAATGAGGTTCAAAGTGGGGCGCGCCTGGACCACACTAGCAAATGATTGTTGCAAATGATTGTTGCAGCATTTTTCATGTTTTTTGGGGGGACATATTTGGGTATGGGTCAAAATAAAACCACCAGGGAGCCGCAGGTTTTAGTCTCTGGTTCCATTTACCAGGGTTCAAAAGTTGGGAACCAGATTTTTGACCCAACCTTCCACATATCTAGGGCTCAGTAGGCCCGGGTTCAGGAGGCCGGCGGCATCATGACCTCGGCACGAGCCGCTGCCGCTGCCGATGCCTCGGAGTTGGACGCCGGCGTGGAACTCGCGGCGGCAAGAGCTGGGGTGCCGCGAGAGGCGGGGGCGAAATTGGCCAGGCGTTGTTTTGCTTCCCTGGGTTCGTAAGCAAATGCGTTTGTGCCAGAATGAGAGACCCCTCCAAATGGTTGGTTTGCTGTTGGTCTCCCTTTGAAAGCAACCAAACAGGAGCTCCCCCCCCAAAAAAAGGCACACCCAAATGAAGGTAGGCCCATGCTCCCATATGCAACTCATGCAGATCTTGACCAAGGAGCTTCCTAGACATCACAAGTAGGGTACAGCCACAAATGAGCGTGTACACCGACCTACACAAAGGTACCCTCAAGGGGAGCGCATCCATGTGAACCAGAGGCGTTGTAAGAGTCGACTCGGTTTTGGAGGTGCGACGTCTTTTGCTGCGGGTGGTACAGCGCCTGCGGGAGGAGTGCAACCAGGGAAGCCTGCTGTCGGCGACTTGGCAGTCGCAAGAGGGGTCGCGTTGCTTTGGGCTTTGGTTTAGGGAGTTCTTAGAGCGGCTGCTTAAAGGGGGGAAGGGGTGTGGCACGGTTTCCTTTGGGTTGTTCAAGCCCATCCCAAAATTTGGGCCCAGTTGTGACCGCCGGCTCCAGTCCCGAGCTCTGGTGAATCCGCGGAAGTGCCGGCCAGTTGCACGGAGTTTCGAACCCAGCCTCTCTTCCATCCAATCGCAACGTGAATAACCACAGTTGAGTTATTGAGTTGGGCCACACAAGTGGCCCCAACATGCAGCTCTTTGGGGTTGAGCTTGGGTCTGGCTGCGTCGTCTGTTTGGGATTGGCAAACATGCAGCCAGCCAGTTTGGGAGGGGCATGTGTCTTTGCTTCCAGCCAGAAACTGGCGGGGGCCGCTCTTCAATTGCATGACTTTGGGTAGACTCCGTCAATGCCAGCTTCTGTGAGCAGGGATACATGTTTGCCCTTTCTGCGCCTTGTCCACCCCTTGCTCATGTCGTGAAAACCGGACACCCCCGGGCCCCCCGGCTTTTTTTTCTTCTAAACCCTAAACCCTGAACCCCTGGCGGGCCGCTTTTTTTTCCCTGCCGTGTTTTGGTTCTCGACCCCCGAGCAACGAAACGGTAAAGGACCGGACCTTCCTGGTGAAGGCGGTGCGGCTGCTGCGCGCCAAGGCGGCCCTGGAGGGCCGCACCGCCTGCCAGGCCGGCTGTTTCGACGGGTGGGCGGGTGACTGGCTGCCGTTGATCCACGGGTTTGCTGGTTGGTCCACCAGTGGTTGCTCAGTTGTTCAAGAAAAACAAGATAACTTTTATATGACCTTTTGGTTGCTCTTGGTTTGGTTCATTTGTGGTATTTTGTGCCTATGGCGCCAATAGGTCAAGCTTTTGTTTCTGGGTGCTTGGTTTTTCGCGCCCACGACCACCTGGTTCTATCCTCCACCCAGGTGGTTCTCAACTTGAGACTGTTTCCTGGGAGGGCAGCCAGGCTTCCGACCTCTTCGTGCTCCGCTTCCTCACCACCTTTCGCGTTCCCCCTGAGGACCGCCCGTACTGTGGGGGATGGGGGTGGGGAGGGCTCTAAATTGTTTAAGAATGTCAACCTTTTCATTCATGAAACGGCGGACCGCAATCAATCATGCCCTCCTTGTGGGGAATTCATACATGGCTGTGGGTCAAAACCAATGGTACCATTTTGGGGTAGGTGCACCACCCATTTTAGTCTATTTTAGTGGTTGGATTGGGATGTTCACTGGGGGTACGGGATGTTGACCCATGGCCACATGGATCCTTGAAGCATCCTCTGGTTTCCCTAGAAAACATGTCAAAAAAGGGTCAAACCAACCATACCTTCGGGGGTGAAAGAGGCCACGAGCTCTCAGGTCCATGCGCGCATCGAGGAGATCATCCGGCAGGCATTTGTACGGAACCGTCCGTCCGGTTTCGCAGCTCCGAAACCGGGGCACCGCAAGCAACAGGGTCTGGGCAACGGCCCCTTTTTTTCACTCATGTTGTCGCTACAAAGACAAAACAATATTTTTGCCTTTTTCAAATGAGGGCATGTGAATCAATTTGCTATCTGGTTACGTCACAAACTGAGGTTTGCAAGCCCCTTTCGCTTTGATCAAATGGGGCGTGTTGGAATCCAAGCCCACCCGATCAGATTTGCGGAAAGGCCCCGAAGAGAGATGTTTTGACAGTTTGGAACGGACATGTGTCAAAGGGGCACGTCCAAATCGTGAGAAGGGTACCTTCAAAAAAACACAAACCCACATCGTGTGAGGCATGGGACAACAAGCAGCATGGGCTTTTTGATTAACACGGACTCCCTCACGAGGCAACATGCTAGATGGCCAAGTTGCTTCTTTTGGTCAATCTCCTTCACCTAAAGAAACGGCCACACCTTTTGGAGCAGAGATGATGTTGGACATACTGCAGATGGTCCGGTTAAGTGGGTCCTTTGACCCCTGGATCAAGCAGACTGATGAGCGTGGGGAAGACATGACACGGGCGCTTTTTCTTTTAGTTGTACCCTTTCTTTTGGTTTCCAAGGGACACCAAAAGGACAACCACCATTTTTTTGGGGGGGGACCCTCCAACACGACCCACATCTTCCGAGAACAAGCGCGTAGTCTTTGCAAGAAAGTGAGTGCCAAGAGCCCAGAGGAAGTGCGGGAGCTGAGACCTTGTTTTGCTTTTATGCAAGTGGGAAGTCGCGACTCGCTGTTTTTGTTTGACGTCACCCATGACGACGGTTCATCTTCATGTTTCATAGACAAATGTTATTTAACTGTAAATTGTTTTGACTACTCAACTGCTGACTGATAAGTTCTGCTCAGTGTAATTGTTTCAAGTAGGTTTTGTGCTTAGTTGCTTGGGTAGCTGGTTATTGAGCACGAATCTTGGCTTCATTCTGTGCAACCCTCCACTTGCGATGACGTCGGCAGGTCATTGCCAGCGCAGAGGAGCAACGCTCCGAGCGCCCCGACTGGTCCGTTCCGCCACAGGATGGGCCAGATGCGGAGGCGGGGAGAATGGGACTTGGGGCCAATCCGTCGTCATCTTGTACGCCCAATGTGAACTTTGGATGAATGCGGGCCCCTGGTCAGAGGAACCCCCCGAAGATAGATGATTTCCAAACTAAAAGGGAACCCACCCCTGATTAGTACTGTTCTCCGGATTAATCCGACCCCAAACGGGTTGGGGATGGACAAAATCCGGCACCAGTTGGGATGGATGACAGTCCAATCATCCCCCTCACCAAGCACAGGGTTCCACTTCTTGACTGAGACCCAGGGGTTCTCCTTTTGGGGGCATCAAGGGCCCCTGGGTTTAAGCCAGTCAAACAACTGGCTGTGGGTCAAAAATGGGTATCCATTTTGGAACCCTAGTGAACGGAACCAAGGACTCCAACCTGCGGTCCCCTGGTGCTTCAATTTTGACCCACACCCAACTAGAGCCCTGACCGGGCACTTTGCCGTGCGCGAGGAGGGGAAGCCTGCGCCCAACGCGGCAGGGCTGGACAGGGACGGCGAGGGCGAAAATGGCGAGGAGAGCGAGGAGTCGAGCGAAAGAAGCGAGGGGAAGGAGGGGGCGGCCAGCGGCTCCGGCAACGCTGGCCCCTCGGCGAGAAAAGGTTTGGCTTTTGACACCCAGGGCCGAGACTGACAACAGGTACCAGTTTCCGCTTGGAAGGTTCAGGAAGAGCTTCATCCGCTGCTATACTTCCGCAAAGACGGAGGCGGATTTCATGTGCTTGGCTGCCCACCCAAGCGCTTGATTTTCCCGGATGTTTGGACATACTTATCATATCGGTGCGCGTATTTTCGGGGGCCCGCCACTTTTTTCACGGGGATCCGCCAAAGGGAAAGCCGCCCATTTTCGGGTCCCAAGCTCAGGCTCGGAGAGCGAGGCCGGCGAGGCCACGGAGGGGCAGCAAAACGGCGCTGGAAAGGACCCAAAGTGGCTGGAGAATGACGCGGTGACCACCAGCGAGTCCTCCGGCCAGAGCGTTGCCAAGAACAGCGGCGAGGAAGGAGGGAGTCTCCTGCCCTCTCCCTGCCACTTCTGCCAGCTTGGTTTTTTGGAAGTTTGGTTTTTTGGAAGCCTTGAGGTTTTTGGCCTTAGACATGTGAGAACCCTCGAGCCTTCCAAGCAAACACAATCCACCCCATGGCTCCAGACCCTGAGCTGTGACATGGGGTCTGCCATTTTTTTTTCACCATTCAAGCTTTTTTTTCCCCCAGAAGAGAGTGAAGCACCTCGAGCAATCCACAAACCTCGGAAATAAGGAAATTCGAATGTGTACCCTGACTCCGAATTTTAGCATGAACCTCTTTCCAAATAAGATGTTGACCAAGGCGTAATCAGTGCTCAAATATACTTAAAGTGGAAACAATTGAATTTGTCTGCTTTTGTCTGCATGTTCCTTGAGTTTTGTTGGTTTTTCATTCTTTTCCAGCTGGAAAAAGCAACAAGCCTTTCTTTCTTCATGGAACTCTATTTTGAATATTTAGTCAAACTTCACCTTAAAAGCCATATGTGGCCAGGAAGTCCTATTTGAATCTTTAGAGCTTTTAAAGAGTTGTGTAGATTCTGACCAAATACTCCCATGAGTTCCATTCTAGTTGCTAATTTAAGATGGGAGTCTAAACTCTCGTGTAAGACAAAGGGCGTTATTTCCACCGGTTTCAAAAACCCAAGCTGGTGTACCTTCCCCATTCTTTTCAGGGATCCTTCTTTCTAGAAAACCTCCGGACACCCAGGGAGAAAGGATCCTGTTTTTGGAAAGAACGATGGTTGAAAAGAATGGAAAAGGAATCAACCCCTAGAACAATGGCTTCCTCGAAAGTTGTGTTTTTGTTCCCCCCTTTTTTGTTTGTTCTCCTGGTTGGATGGGTTGAGGTTCAAGATGCCCAGCGGCAATAGGGAGGGGCGTTTTTTTTTTTTGGATTCTTCGTTGTTTTTAGGGAAGGACCACCGGTATTTCCCACGGGTTTCAACACCCCCCCGGGCCTTGGAACGGCGATTCTTTTTCGCCCAGGAGCCGCGGGGGACCTGGAGATGCCCTCTGATGCCTTGGTGGCCAACATGGGCAACCTGGATGCCCCTGGATGAGCAAAACGCGGGGGGGGGGGGGGTTTAGGGGTTTGGGGGTTTAGGGGTTTCGGGGTTTCGGGGTTTAGGGGTGGGGTTTGGGGGTTTGGGGGTTTAGGGGTCTAGGGGTTTAGGGGTTAGGGGTTTAGGGGTGGGGTTTAGGGGTTTAGGGGATTCGGGGTTTAGGGGTTTCGGGGTTCAGGGGTTTGGGGGTTTAGGGGTTTGGGGGTTTCGGGGTTTCGGGGTTTGGGGGTTTAGGGTTTTGGGGGTTTAGGGGTCTAGGGGTTTAGGGGTTAGGGGTTTAGGGGTGAGGTTTAGGGGTTTAGGGGATTCGGGGTTTCGGGGTTTCGGGGTTTGGGGGTTTAGGGGTGGGGTTTCGGGGTTTCGGGGTTTGGGGGTTTAGGGGTTTAGGGGTTTAGGGGTTTAGGGGTTAGGGGTTTAGGGGTGGGGTTTAGGGGCTTAGGGGTTTCGGGGTTTCGGGGTTTCGGGGTTTCGGGGTTTGGGGGTTTAGGGGTGGGGTTTGGGGGTTTTGGGGTCTAGGGGTTTAGGGGTTTAGGGGTTGGGGGTTTAGGGGTGGGGTTTAGGGGTTTAGGGGTTTCGGGGTTTAGGGGTTTCAGGGTTTCGGGGTTTAGGGGTGGGGTTTGGGGGTTTAGAGGTCTAGGGGTTTAGGGGTTAGTGGGGTTTAGGGGTTAGGGGTTTAGGGGTGGGGTTTAGGGGTTTCGGGGTTTCGGGGTTTCGGGGTTTGGGGGTTTAGGGGTTTAGGGGTTTAGGGGTGAGGTTTGGTGGTTTAGGGGTTTCGGGGTTTGGGGATTTAGGGGTTTGGGTATTTAGAGGTTTGGGGGTCCAAAGATTGGGCAGCAAGTCTTTGGATGGTGTTGGAAACAAGATGTCGTCTTCGGATGGTTTTGGACAGGAGACGTCGCTTTTTTTTTTCTTTTTTTTTTTTCGGACGGTGTTGAAGTTTGGTTGGCTTCAGAAATGCAAAAACTCCAGAATGCCAAGGCCCGATCGTGGCAGTCTTTGACCGTGGCATGCAGAAAGTGGGAGGGTCAGTGAGACATTGCCTACGCCAGACTCGTTTTGCAAGAATTTGCCCTGCAAGTAGCGCTGTGCAAATAGGTGTGCACGTGAGCACTACTTGCTGCCCAAGTAGTCGCTGTCCAACTAAAGGTTTTCACATGGTGGTTTCATTTGCTTACTTCGTGTAGTGGTAGGGCCCACTCTCAAACGCGCGTGTTGTTTTTAAGGACGCCCCAAAATGGGTGGGTTGCCACTCGGTTTCCCAGGGGTACCAACTCCCAGAATGCAACAAGCCAAGTGGTTCTATGTTGGGCCCTCTTTTACATGGTGAGCGAAGAAATATATGGGTGTGGCTCAAAATTAAGCAGGAGGGGCAAACCGCAGGTTTTGGTCCATATTTCTTACCAGGGTGCCATTTTGGTACGTGTTTTTGAGCCACAGACATATAATACTCACCCTTTGCACATTGAAGGTGGGATGTTCATCAAACAAAGCCCCAGCCACAGCCATGGGTCAAAACCCCGTACCCCCAGTGAACATCCCGATCCCCACTACAATAGGTTCACTCAATCCAACCAAAATGGGATCGATACCAAAACGGTTTTGACAGCCACGGCCAACTGGGAGCTTTTGTCACCCACCCCTTTTTTGGGCGCGCTTGACCGACGCCTTGACGCCCGGAAAACCACAAAAAAACACGCCGCGTATTTCGAGGTGGACCTGGTGAGCGTGGAGAACATCGAGCTGCTGCTGAGCGGCGTGCTGGGCTCCATCGACAAAGGTCGGGAGGAGCTCGAGGTGCACCCGGCCGGAAGCCCGCGCAGGTACAAGGCGAGGCTCAGCGGAACGAGAAGAGTCTGAGCCCAAGAGAATCCATCCCCTATGCAGGGCGCCTTAAAAGATGGCCATTATGCAGCCAGTTGAAAACCATGGCGCTTTTTTCCGTACCAGAATAAAGGGAGACCACCAAATACAAGGCAATGTTCAGGTGTATAATGCAAGGAATCCATGGGTTTCCGAGGTTTCAAAGGGTCCCAAACTAATCTGGCTGGTGCTCAGCAGGGAATGAGAAAAAACCATCGCCTATGATTTCCTTTATTCGGGAATCCCTAGGTCCATTCCCTCATGAAAAACCGAGAAAAGGGGCGCAGACCTAAAAGAAGTGGCTATGGCTGGATCCCTTTGCTTGGATGTTCAACTCACTTGGCAAATGTGTGGGAATCGGCCCGGGAGATGTGTGGCAGGCTATGGGGATTGGGGTTCACCATGGTGTATCTTTTTGCTCTTCGTTTAGACACGGGCGTGGACCCAGAAGGAAATGTCAAATTTCCCTGAAGGCAAAGTGTAAAAGAATCGAGGCATTGCTTCAGGTCGGAGTTTCAAGACCAACGGGGCGTCTGCACTGTGATGTGAGGCCTCCGTTCAGTGCCAGGTTCGCAATCTCTCACCCCCGAGAACGAACTTGAAACCCAGAGACACCGACTGTTTGGAGGAGTCGCTCGCTGGCGGCTCCATCTTTTATTGAGGGGTGTTTTTGTGTTCGGGGCAGTACCAGGTACCATCTGCATGGAAGCTTGTGTTTTTTTGTTTTTTTGGCGCATTTGTGCAGTGGTTGACGACCTGAGCTCTTGTCGCAGACCTGGGACGTGCGGGACACAGGGGACTTCACAGAGATTGATCCCTTCGAGACTCGGCGACATTTGAGTGGCAGTCGGCTAGAAAGTTGCAAGGGCTTGTGCTGCCAAAAGGTTGTCTAGGTCCCTCAGCTAGGTGCCCTTCTCTCCCGTTTCTTTTTGGTTGGGAGATTCGGTTCCCCTACTAAAATAGATTACAGGAAGAAGGGTACCAACTTATTCAAACCTCTACTGACCTAGTGGGAAGGGGTTGGTTGCACGGAAACCTTGGAACGGCAATTCCATTCCGGGCTTTTTCTGATAGGTGCCCTTGACTTTTGAAGTATCAGCCCTGGGAAGCAGTTGCCAGGGTTGTACGGAGAAGATCGGCCCCTTGACATTGCTGAGGCAGATAAACGGGGATGCGGTTCAATATTGTTTCCAGCTGACTTAGATGGTCCCCCCTTTGACCCCGGGGTGATGTATAGCATATATAATGTATGCAATATGTATATATATATATATCTAAATACATAGAAAATATACTGTACATACAAGTATATATGCATATGTGTACGCATACACATACATATATATATATATAAACACACACACACACATAGAAGCAAATACCCTTTTTCCCTTGCAACCCCTTGCACGCCGGGAGCGACACCGCCAGCGGTGAGCCAGCTGAGGAGATGCACCGCTGGGTGGGCAGCCCCTCCCCCGCGCTGCTGCCCAGGGCCCGGGAGCGCCTGAAGAGGACGGGGTCCAGCGGCGGTTTTTGTGTCGGTGGCTCATGCGACCTGAAGGGGTCCTTGTGTTTCCGTGTTTTTTTTTTTTGGGGGGGGGAGGGGGGCCTTCCAACCGAGCGGGTACTTATATCTATGTTTCTTCCTTTTGTTGTTTTTTTTGGGGGCCCGGTTTTGGAGGTTGTTTCTTTTGGAGCGGGGGGAGCTTACAAGCGAGGGGTCCTTAAAGTACCTTTTCTAGTGTTCCATTGTTTTTTGCGTTGTTGGTTTTTTTTTTTTTTGGGGGGGGGGGGGAACAATCCATCGCCTTGAAGCTGGCAGTTGAATATGAGTTTCTGGGCGGTGGCCCATTTGATCGTCACCCTGAGGAGCCGCGGCGGACTGGTGGCCATGCTGCGGGACGTGTCCATGAGCACCTTTGCGGACGCCTGCTTGCTGCTTCTCGAGATTCCAAACCGTCCCAACAAAAAGCCGGTGGATGCTTTTTTTTCTAGGAGTCATTACATTTATAGCTTCCCGAATCCTCAGTTGCTGGTCCCAACAGGTGAACCTTTTGTTTCTGGGCCCAAAAGGGCAACCGAGAATCTTCCTTTGGGGGTCATTCTTAGCTTCCCGACTCCTGTCGAGCCGGCAAGATGGGGGCGAA